TGAAAGCCCCGCCTCTGTTCTCTCCGACGAGCTTCTATTTCGGTCATGACTCCTTCGTTTTCTTCCTGGTAGACCAATACCATATCGATTCTTCGATGACCGTCGCTAAAAATTATCATATTGAGTCAAGTAATGGCGCCAAATAATTAGCGAATAATGCAGAAAGATATTAAACGGAAAGTATCAAAAGTGACCCATTATTTTGTTTTTAAGCTCGAGCTTAAAGTTTAACCTCTTCAAGGACGGATTTACGGATACCGGAAAAATTATTCCATATCATTTTTTTAAAAAATATTTCTTTTAAATATATTTATAATTATTAAACAAAACAGAAAAAATTAAAAAATATTTGAAATCTATGAAAAAAATAATGTATACATACATAGCCCTATTGTGCGTTAAAATTAATTATTCGTGAAAGGATTTTACATACTAAAACTCTCTCTTTCTCTTAATGTATACATATGTGTCAATATTCCTGAAGAGATTAATTATGCGATACAATAATATAAACATGTATTTGTACATAAACTGTTTCAAGAGGCGCACAAATGTGTGAATGGAAGTAGAAGGTCGTTAACATTATCAGAAATTATTATACGCATACAGACACATATATGAATAGTTGTTATCTGTATTGTTAAGAGATGGATCGCGGAAATTGATTTATCAATGGTAAATAACGAGAAGAGAATAAATAACGAGCTCCAATAAATTGTAGCCGGATGTTTCCAGATTTATAATAATAGGGCACTGCGAGGAACACAGCCGTAGGATATATATCGGAAAGCATAAATCATAGAGCCTCCCACTGATCTCGGACCTTTTCCACGGATCTCATCATCAATTTCTTTCCGTTATCTCTACCAAGTATACGACCAAAAGTTGACATTAAGCACTCAATGTGTCATCGCAACGGTCATGTCTCGCCTCGTAAATTATATGTCAAAATAAATTTTCAGGCACATCGCAACAAGATACTTTATCTATTTTTAAATGCGGAAGTCGTAACTTCTCGATTGAGAATATCACGACGTGTTTAGAAGTAAAAGATTTGGTGGTCTGCCATAGAGATGCAAATCAAATTATGTAAATCTTTATACGAAGGAAATAAAAGGCAATCAAGAGCCAATGCGGTAATTTGTGCACATGTAAACCTATTATTTATGTAATCTATTTATTATACATACAATATTTAATATATATTTTGAGATATAAAGATAAAAATATAAATATAAAGTAAAAATAAATAACATAAAACATTTAATTATATATATAAAGTTAATTTAAAAATATTTCGAAATATCTCAAATATATTTTTTGACCATTTTATAACATTGGGCAAAATATCTAGCTCTCGCATCCAATCCTTACGATTCCAAATCGAAAGATTAAATCTAAAGTCCCGGCTTGTGGTCAGCCAAGGGACAAACATCGGGAATTGAAATTCTTAACACTGAATGAGCGGGATAGGAAGTGACTAATAGGAAGTTCTGCCCCTATGGCGCTAAAGGGGTGACGAACGCCCGACCGCATACAGGAAATGTATCCAATGGACATGAATCGAAATAGCAATGAGGAATAGAGGCGAACAACGGTGAATAGACTGGCAACCGTGGCTTTTTGATTGCTATAACATATATTTTGAATTATCGCCATATTGAGTTATATGCTCTTACACAATGAAAATATTACTGTAATATATCTACAATTTTTGAAAAGTATATAATTGAATAAGTTTTTAAACATATCTTTCATGCTTTTATGTCCAATAAAATATATAATGCAAATAAAGAAAGTATTATATCATTTATCTGCAAATTATGGTTGAAGAAAAAAACTGTTCTTTTATTTAATGACGTTATATTTTAATGTTGTTATATTTTTAACATCATTAAATAATGACGTTATTTTTTTCGCATTTATTTTGAACAATTTAAAGCGATTTTACGCTTTTCACGATAGTGATTAGTCCACTTATGTCTTCTTAGTTCTTTATATTTAACCGTAGAAGCAATGAAATATTGAGCATCCTTTCAAGTACGTTATCTCGATATTACATTTAAAAGATGAAACCAAGTCATGGTGGCTTCTAGTTAAAAGCCGGCTCTCCAAAACCTTTTTCCCACGTTAAGATTAAAAATCCGTCGACGAAGTAAGGAAGGGAGAAAGGAAGGAAGGGATCTCTTACGTGATCAAGAAAGTTCTTTGGTAATCATTAAACCGTCGAAGAACGTTCTCAACAAGGCCGACCGTCGGCGCTCCCGTGGTATTTTATTGAAAAATGCCGGGTTCTCTCCTGCCAGGGCTGATGGAACGAATGCCTGGATTAAGATCAGTAAAGGAGATCTTAGGATCTCTGATTTTTTTGCGAGTCGACCGGAAGAAAAATCTGTGGCCGGTCAGGCAAGGAAAAAAAAGTCTATGGAAGATGCGCGCGAAGTAAGATCAGTGACGAGGAAAATCAGAAAAGGCAGTGAAACTGAAACGCGCAAGAAAGAGAGAACAAATATAAAGAAATGAAAAGGAGAGACGCTAGAGAAGTTGGGAAAACGAAAAAACTTGAGACTCAGTAAAGAATCGAGGGAGCAAGTGGGTTAGGCCAAGGGACAGTGGTTCTCGAGACGGCGAGAACGAAGGGTGGAGGGAAGCGAAGAAGCTGTAAGTCGGTAGGCGGGGGGTGGTGATCGAGTGGGACGAATTGACAAATTCCAGGGCGATCCTGGAACACGGCCAGGACCGCGATTTCTATCGCCGAGTATGCCGACAACAAACAGAAAAAGAATAACGGGCCGAAAGAACGCCCATGCTCGGGTCGGATCGAATGATCGATAGCCGCGAATAATGCTTGGGAAATCTTGGCAGCAAAAAGTATTTATCAGTATTATTCCTGTGGGAGCTTTGACGCTGTCCCGGTGATTAAAACTCAATACCCGACGATCTTCTAACAATTTTCTCAGACGAAACAAACGATTCAGACTTAATTTTAGACCAATGAATTAGTCTTTTTTCAAATGTGTGCAAATCAATGGATCAATGGAAAAAAGAATCTTGTGCATGCATATTAATCAATATATTAACATTTTCAATAAAATAATGTGTCAAAAATTACTAAAAATTTTATTAATTATCTTGATTTGAAATAGAGATGATTCGAAAGTAAAAGAGATTATTTATCCAACATATACGTTTGAGAAAGTTATCAGAACTAATATTTTATCACAAGATTTTCGTTTAATCAATTTAGTCAATCTATTTTATATAAATAGACTATTCTTAAAGATCTTATTTTTTTAGTGTGCAATTCAATAACATTGCATTTTATTATTATGAAAGCAGTATTGATGCGAATGAAAAATAAAGAAATAATGCATTAAAGGACTGAAAAAAAATCAAGTGTTTTTGTTTTGCGAATAGCTGGAGGCTCGTAAAAATATTCTACCCGATTAAGTGGAAACTTTTTTAATTGGAAAACAGATCACGCGCAGCAAGGCGTCAGAATAATACTGATACGATGGAGAAGTAGTAGCGAACTGTTCTCGAAACGCTACTGTCAAAACAAAGACGCAATTTACCGATGGAATCATTGAATTAGGTTTTGTAAGCAAACGCAACAAATGGAAAGGAGACTTAACAATGTATTTATTTTTAATTTTGAGACTGTGTCATATACCAATGTATACTAGTAAACGGAGGGAGAATAATTAAAAATATAATTAATCAAGTATATCTGAATTTAATTAAGTCAAAAAAAATTTTTATCTACAAGTATATTGCTTTTCTAAAATCTGTTACCCATCTCATTAAAGAAAAAATTAACAATTGATTAAGAGATCGACAATATATATCGTAAAATGATCAAATATATGTTAAATATACAAATTATATAAGTTTTTAATTTTAGAGATAAATTATTTATAATTAGAGAATTTTTTTTTTTATAGTTAAATTATCAAGTTAAAATACAAATTTGTGAAAATTACGGTTGATGAAAAACACTCAGAATATTAACGTAGAAATATTTTATTGATCTGAGAGACATTTTAATTGCATCCTGGTGCATATCACGAATATCTATGTATTCGCATATATATGAACGCGACATCGAAGCGCCGAGCGTTGTAAGAGCCATTAATAAGAGTCGCTTAATTTCACGAGAACCCGCAGGCCTCAACTATTATCTGGAAAATGTAACTTGTTCGAAGAACGATTAAACGGAGGCCACGAAAATATGTCAACCCGCAGCGGCTTGCATCTGACGGGAAACCTATAGATGGAACACAACCATTAATGAGATGACAAATGTGTTCTTGTCGACGAGAAACGCACGCTTTGTGCGAAAATTGGATATTTAATATCATAATTTAAACTGTTATTAATTTAAACTGTTTATATCGATCTTTCACTGATTTTATTACAATAAACATTCTTGTCAACGTAATAAGCAAAGAGTCAAAGAAGAAAACCAATTAAGTTCAGGAACCGAACTTCTCTCAGGAAATATGACAAACGCATTATTCTTGAAAATTAAAATTGTATTACTTTCATAGATATATTTATTTGATTTGAAAGATGTATTCAATAGAATTTTCGATCTGTGACAGTTTCATCTCTGTTGTAAATATATATTATATAATTTGCTTAATTTGTACAATAAAAATCTAAAAAATGTGGAAACTAAATTGAATTGTATTTTCTTTTTGCTCTTTAATTACTGCCTGTCATTGACAGATTATTTCTTCGCTTAGTCTCATTTGATAAATTGAACAATATGGTTTTAACCGAAAGATGTAATAATCCCGATGTAATTTCAGGTGAACTGCCAGCCGCCGTGCACGACGGCAACGGAGTTTCGAGAGCGTTCCTTAATCTTTGGCTGGTTCACCTGACGATGAGCTATGTCTTCACCAGATGACAGTATTAAGGTGAGTGATAATACAGAGAAAGTTTTCAGCAAACTTTGTCGGAATATATATTTTTTTGACAAAAATAACAAGGTATATTGTCATGAGATATGATACCACACTTTACATATTATGATTTTAATATCGAAGAAAAAAGCGGGATTTATGATGTATTACATATGAGTTTCAGATTTTTTAATGAGAAATTCTCTCTCTCTCTCTCTATTTTAAAAGAGCCAATTATTTTTGCTTTGGCAAAATTCAAATTTTAAAGTGCATTAAAGTTACATAAACGCACTTATAAACTCATGCAATATGTATGTAAGTGCATATAAAGTATATGTAGGTATAATTTTTATAGCTGATGTTATTTTAATAAGTTTTTCAATATTATAAACTTTTAATCTAATTTTTTAATATAAATTTGTGATATACTTTTTAATATTATTAACTTATCCGTAATTTGAAAAAATAATTATCTCTATATAAGATTATTTTTTGTTCTTATATTTAAAAAAAATGTTAACCGGAAAAATATAAAAGTAAATGAATGAAAATAGGGAAAGTTGTCTTTCTCATGAAACTTCTGAATATAATACGAGAATGTGAAAGTATGAACGACCTCGCAATTTCGAACCCTGAAAATTGCTTTGCGGATTATTAAATAATCATGCCCGATAATCCACTACCGTGAAATTGGCATATCGAAATTTGTTTGAAAATAATCCACACCGCTGTTGAAAATCGTTATGATGCCGTCATGAATTGTTGCAATAAAATTAAGATGCCGCATTTATATTATGATTATTCTGAATTATTTGAATAGTTTTCATAATGCTTCATAAAACGCTTTAGGCGGTTGTCGAAAATAATTTCTTGTTTTCCTGGAAAATCTTCGTTAAATCTCCCTTCAACCTTTTCGAGTTTATCATACCTTTTCATGTTGCTTTTTTTGCAGGCTGACCATATACTCTTTGTTTTCTCATGGTACAAGTTGTCTTTCTTTTTCTGACAATTTTGGTCTTTTTTTTATGTAGCCGCCTAAATCCGAGTTTTAGATGAGTTCTCAGGAAGCTCATTGACTTATAAAAAGCTCGAGCCAACAGAGTTTCTGGGTTAACGCGAAATATACATATTTCCGCGAGAGAAGAAAAGAAGAGCGAAAGGATCACCGTGGCTTCTCGGAGATATCGAATCCCTTATGCGATAGCGAATCGATCGACATGAATGTTATTTTGAATAACTTCGGATCAGAAACAGGATTTTATTTCAAAAATGTTTAGTTGAGAAACGAAATAAATAATGATATTTTTTGAATGTTTGAAAGACTGCATAACAATTAAATATATGCAAAATACATATCGTATATTTAAAATGATTTTTGTGGTATACAATATTCGCAAAAATTCGCATACTTCTTTTCGACTACATATTTTTCCACAAATCAGATTTACAGTGCATAAATAGAATTTGTAGCATTCATATTTTTCCTCATTCTAATTATGTATAATTTTATGTAAGATATAAATTGAATAATTTAAGATAGAGAAAATTTAAACAAAATTATTTGCATTTTTATTTATATATAGTGTTATACATAACTCTATATATCATGTACTAATTACGTCATTGCTTATGCATTTTGATTCTTATTTGCTGTTTTCCTTTGATTCCAAAGTTTTTCGGCTAATTATGTGAAGACTTCAATTAAAGTTTTAATGATATTAATAACTTCCAATTTTATTTCAAGCACCAGCATTTTCGACCGGTAATGAAATCACGTGATGGGGTTGCCGTTATCGGAAATTTTATTAGAGCCACGTAATCCGATGTTTCGTCGATGAGCTTTTTTTCTCGTGCATCGTATACGTAATTACATGAGACACTAACTAATTAAAAACGGCTAACTAGAGCAAAAAATGAGATGACGTTCTTCGAAGGTATTATTAGAAAGGTAAATGTGGCATTCTACAAATTTAAATAATTGCATTCCAACTTTATTTGATTAATCAGCAAGTAAAATGTTTTACGAAATCTGAAAAAAAGAAACAAACTTTTAAATATACTTTCTTTATATATATATTTTTTGCAGCTGAAAAAGTGTAACGAAAAAACCGTTTATTCGGAAGATTATATAAATCCCATAGAGAGAAAAGTTGCTCTAGATTGCTAATTTATGTTTATGAGTATGTTATCGTGATTTTAAATTTTTTAGATATAGACTTAAATTGTCGAAAATCACGATTCAAATTGAAACAATTTGCTTAAATGAAATTTAAATGCGCCAAAATTTACGCTTTGATGGACAATATTTATTTGCTCAATTATTAGTTGCTCGATCATAAGAATTAAGTATTGTAAACAACATGAAAATTTACAACTTCAGCCTTTATTATTATTTATATGATTTCACCTCTGTGTCAAATAACTTCCAACTTAATTACAAACAAAATGTATATTTGTTATATTATTTATTGGATGTTTTGTAATTATTTTCGCATCCATGCACAATTTAAAAAAATAAAGAATAATTGTTTTCATCTAATTATTACATCGAAATAATCGAATGTATGGAGACTCTCTCCAATTTATTTTATTATCGATATATTGAATTAAAGTGAAACTTATATTTGTAGAATTTTTATTGAAATTTTTTGCAATATGATATGTATGACAGCCTTTTGTAAAACTAAATTTTGCAAAATGTAATAAATGCTACTTTGTATTATACAAAAAATATTACGCGAATATTTTTTTATTCCGCATATACATATTTTATTATATTTGTTCGTTTATATATTTGTTACAATTTAAAATATTATTGCATTAAGCAAATTTTTTTATTAAAAATTCTACTTGAAAATATAATTAAATTTTTCTATAATAGGATATTAGGCTTCTTTTTGTATCAAAATTAAGAAATAAAAATATAAAAATAATTTATAGCAACATATAATTAAATATTTTCAAATAAATTATTTTAACAATTTATTTTTATAGTAGGAAAACTGTTAGGCTTCAAACTTAATTTTTAACTAATTGTTATATACCCGAACAGAGAGAGAGAGAGAGAGAAAAAAAGAGAGAGAGCATATGGATTCTTAAATAGCTTCCAACTTAAATTGCTCAAAACTGGCTTCTGCGTGGTGTGTGGTTTCCTTTTATATAAATGTTGAAAATTACTTTAACTAGGTAAACTAAAGCTAAGTTCTGCATTTATCTTCGACTTCATATTTTTAACTGTTTGCAATCGTCAATTAATTAAGCATTTCAGAAAAATCTTGCATTAGCACATACATAATTTTTTTATTACGATAATTTATTGCGCTATAAGACTTAGCAAAATTATTACCCTGTATTATCGCTTGTCCACTACGTGACAACAATTTCACTTGCGTATTACCGAGCTTCCAGCTGTTATCGAGAAATGAATGGCGTTGCGTACCAACGATAATTGCAAGTTTTCGCGCGTTTGCCATCGAAGCGGCGGGATCGCGCAACCGCATCATAAAGCAACGCGAGCGCCGGATCATCCATATCGCGGCTCTCGAATGCGTAACGTGAATTAACCGATATTCATAATTCAAGCTTTTATCGTCGCCGCGTCGAATCCCCCATTGTGAAGATATAATTTCGCGATGAACCGCGGGAGGAAGCGGGGATTCGGGCGAGGTGACGGGGATGGTGAATGCGGGGGGTGAAGGAACAGAGGGTTGGAAAGGGGGAGGGAAAGGGGGTTGATGCTGCGGCATTGCCGTATGACGGCTTCCGCGGAAACTATAGCTTATACGATATAGTTTCTACCGCGGTATCTCTCACCTCTGCGCTTTCATTATCAGCCGCCATAGATCACGGCGTGAGCTCCTATGACGTCACATCCGTCCATCCCTCATCGCAAAACACCGTTGTTATAGGTGGGTACAACACACAACGAGAGAGAGAGAGAGAGAGAGAGAGAGGAGTACACTACTCTTTCCCTTTCGCCACAGCTCGCAACCACCCCAACTTCCCTTCCCTTCCCGTTCCGACCGCGAACCCACGAGACGCCCTTGTCTCTGTCATTCTCGACGAGCACGTACGGTTTCGATCGCTCGAGCACCGACAAACCGCCGAATTAAATCCGGTGACATCCTTCACTATCGCGAAGTGTGTCTGACGTCGTGTGTAATTCGCCGTGTGTGTGCACATGACGAGAGACGCGATGCCGCGCTTGGCTTTACCGCCGCACCGCGTTACGCACGCGATCTGTAAAGCAAGATTAATGCTATCGTCGAGATGGAGTCGTAAAATCGTTCCGCGCGTTTTCCACATTCTCAGAGAATTCGCGGTTGGAATTCGATGCGGGTGAACAATTTTTCCGGAAGCGCTTCAACGCAACGCTTTGCGGGGATTTTGTTCAACGTGATTGTTATCGCGACGATTTTATATTTAAAAGAGCTAACGGGTTTATACTTGAAACGATCAATATCTAAAAACACAAACGAGCAATATTGTTATGTAGTTTAGAAACTAGAATAACATGTACAGTATATCTTAGATTTCTTAAAGAATAATTATCCGTTGCTTTTTTTTTATCGTGTAAAAAAGAATAAACATATTCAGTCGGTAGAAAATAGCAATTGTTTAAAACAAACATATACAAATGTAATATTGAAAATAAAAAGCTTTTGGGATTTTAATAAAATAACAGATAAGTTAAGATGTTAATGCTACATTTATAAAACAATTATTATTTATGTGCAATGTATGCAATCTTAGAATTAACATTTTTCACATGTATCAAATGATATTTTGAACTAAAAGTTACCTAATTATTTCACGGAAAATATCCTCATTCGAGCACGAATCGAGCTATAAAATCGCAAGGCAGGTGTCCGCTATTATCCGATGACATGTGGCATGTGCATGACGTCCGGCAATTTGAAAATGACGTCATGCCGTGGCATTCGTCGAGTATGTCACTCACACGCGTAACATAAACATACATGGCCTCACTTCTATTTAATTAAAAAAATGCATGC